GTCCCAAAGTCGATCAACACGACGGTCTGGGAGGACTTGTGTACCCACTGGAACAAGACCCAGACGAAGGCGATCTCTAACACCAACTCCACCAACCGCAAGAGCGATCGTGGCGGGAAGGGCATCTTCGTGCACAATTTGGGTGCTCAGTCTATTCCCACTCTCGCAGACAAATTGGTAAGTTCAAACTCCTTTTCTTTTAAATTTTAAATACTTTTATTTTTTATGTATTCTAATGTTTTTTTTTAACTTATGTGTTTTCCTAGGCGGAAGAAAATGATGGCGAGGCCGTGGGTGATTACGATTTGTACAAGAGGATCCACACCAACAAGACGACGGGCCAGATTGATGATGGCCTTGCGCAAGAAGTGGTCTCCCTGGTGGACAGTATGAGGGAAGAAGAAGAGGCCCGTCTCTCCCAGATCCAGGCCGATCTCGACTCCACATCCACTGCATCGACTGCCCTCTCCAAAGTTCGAATCGATGAGCTTCTTATATCAGTAAGTTTTTTTCTTAATATTCAATTCTTTTATTTATTTTATAATGATTATAATTTTAAATTTTCTTTTTCAGGCGATTCCAAAGAAGAAGGGACGTTTTGTCGGTTTGGGTCGTCGATCCAAGTCGATTCCTTCTACATCCCAGGTGCCAGTTGATCCTATGCTGATAGATCAACTGAAAGATAAGGATGCCCGCATCGCTATGTTGGAGGCGAAGATGGCGGCTCAAGAGGCTGCTAGTAAGGCAGAAAGGAGGCGGAGTGAGAAGATGATGGAGGCGTTCTTGAAGAAATTCCCAGAGCATAACTTCGACGACGACGACGACGACGAGTAGTTCTTTTTATTTCTTGTTTCTGTTTTGAATTTCTGTTTTGAATATTACTTTTTAACATTATCTATATTATGTTTTTATTTGAATTTCAATTTTCAATTTAAAAATTTTAAATTTTAATTTTGAATTTTGAATTTTAATTTTTTTAAAATAAATTTTTATTATTTTTAAAAAAATTAAAAATTACGAAATTTCCGAGGAATGATATTCCTCGGAATATTCTGAGGGATAACATTCCTCGGAATCTCCGTCGGAATATTCTCAGGAAAACCATCCCTCGAATTATTCCGAGGAATACCTTTCCTCGGAATTTACCGAGAGTTTGAAGTCCTCGGAATATTCCGACGGATGGCTTCCTGGGAATATTCCGAGTAGTTTCTTCCCCCGGAAATTTTCGTTGGAATTCCGACAAACGTTTCCATCGGAAAACTTCTTCGGAATGTCCTCGGAATATTGTCCGTCGGAATGTCCTCGGAATATTCCCAGGAAATTCCGACGAAAACTGCGATTCCGAGGAGAATTTTCCGAGGGACATTTTTTTTGGAATATCGTCGGAATCGCCTGATTCCGACAACATTCCGAGGAAATCGTCCCTAGGAATCGATGTGTTTTCTTGTAGTGTACTTGCTAATTATTTCTATGTTACTTGATAATTTGTTGGGATTCCAAACTAAAGAACTTTATTACTTATAAGAAATATCTCACTGCCTTTTTATGCGTTAGTTAATGTGAGGAATACAATATATAAGAGAAACAATTTCAAGATGTTTCTATAAACATATTAATTATGTTTCATTCACTTATGAAAGTGAAAATATAAAAAAGTTATTCATTATAATTTAGGAAAATATACTCCCTCTGTTTTATAATAAGTGTCATTTTAGGTCTTGGCACACATATTAAGGAAATAATTAATTTTACATATTTCCCGTATAAAAACACAATTACCTATACATCTCAACCAATAGAAGAATGAATTACAGAATAAAATAAATAAATTTTGCATAAAAAACCGAAAACGACACTTATTTTGCAACGAAAAAAATTGTCTAAAGTGACACTTATTATGTAACGGAGGGAGTACCTTTTATTCATTAGTAAAAATGATTAATAAACAACAACGTCGAATGCATTTTAATAAATGATAGTTATCTTCTATTTACAATTAACTTAAATAGATTACTTGATATCAAACTAAATACATGATTTTATGGGTTAAGTAGAAATAAAATAAGGAATACAGAACGGATAACTAATAATTGTGTCAAACCAAGTCTTCATTGAAAAATCAATCTGGATAATGTAGCTAAAAATAATTTCTATAACAAACAAAAATCAAAACTCTATAAAACTATAAAATTATTAAAATAAAAATAGAGAAAAAATGTATTTATCTCTGTAGACAATGTTCCATAAATTATTGCTTTTACAAAATTCAACTATGTAATATATGATTTTAGTAAAAAAATAATTTTACTTATTTGATGCCAGTTTAATATATCATTTTATCTATATAATATTTCTCATATTAATTGTATTTAGCTTAAATGATTGTAGATTCATATTTATGAAAATACAAAAACACTAATCTGTTTGTTTATTTTATTTAGTTTATTTTAATATTAAATAAAATAGTATGTGATACTTAACCTGAAAATGTGCATTTATATTTGTAAACTTCTTTTTCATACATTTATTGTATTTTACCAAATAATTTATATCAAATATTAATAATTTAATTTTTTAAAATGTGGAGCATAATGCTTTTAAATTTTCTGGAAACATATTTATTTATTTATTGCTTGGAAATATTTTTAGTAATATAATGTTGTTTTCCATAGTTATTCTTAATGTAATTCTAATATTTTCATTAATTATGACTGACACTTTAATAATATCACATAATAAATCAAATTTCATATATACTTTTTTAAGAAAGATACATATCAATTATATGTTTGCAGCAGTTATTAATAAAACATTCTAGATTATTTTATATTCTCCAAAAATGTAAATTTGTTGAACGAGTTTATTTTTGCAAAACAAAGTTTGCAACCTCTCAAATGATGTCGATCTAAATGTTTAAAACGTGAAATTTTTTTGCCAGATGATCTGAATCCGTTTGTGGACCTGAATCAAGTGATTCTCAATCTCTTGATAGTTTGCAGATGAGCGTAATTCATTATCCATCAGGACCATCACACAACAAAGGAAGTAAGTTTAACTAAACGACAAAATAATAATAATAACATTTGACCTGATCTATAACTTTTTTTTTTTATGTGGGGCACAAATAAAATTTCAGGTTACTAATAAAGATACAGTAACCAATTATTGTTTGAATTTCTTAAGACAATTTCCAAGTTAGATATACATTTACAGTATTTTTGAGAAAAAATATTAGTATAGGATAAATCGATTTTATATATTAAAGTTGAAGTAAGAATCCTATTTTCAGAATTAATCCGTATCTTTTAATTTTTAATCCTAATTATTTTTTCTTAGTTTCAAAGTTAATAACATATACAAGAGTCAAAAAATATACTTATAAATAATAACAATTAATATTACGTTCTTATGTTGCTTATGTAAAATTTTTATTTTAATGAATCAGTTACTCATCAGTAACAAATTCCAAGAAAACGAATTATTCATTTTTCATATTTAGAAATCAGTAACATTAAGTATATATGTATATTATATATATAAAGTACCACTAAATTCGAGAAACAAATTTATAAAAAATACTCTTATTTCCGTGTTGAATACAATACTACCATTTTAAAAAGAACTATATTTACTATAAAAGTAACAATTGAATAAATATTAACAACAAAATAAAACAATAATATTTTAATGAATATTTTAGTGGAGAGAAAAATATATAATTTCTAAAAATAAATAGAAAAGGCTAGCTATAACAAAAAATATTGAAAACTAATAGTATTTTAATTGAAATAAATTAATTATTTGTAAATTTTTCATCAAAATTTCAATTGTGTTTATATTATTTCGCTTATCTGTCCATTGGGCGGGTGTAACCGTAGTTAAAAAAATACAGTACCGATCCTGACATGGGAAAGACCAGAAGAAATTTTCTAAAAGTTGGCCATTTTTATAAAACCGTTTATATACCATAATAATAATTTTCTTCTAAAAAATACTGATTTTTTCAAATATTTTTTGAGGGCCGGAAGCTGTTGCTTATAATGCTTCCCCAGGGCCGGTACTGAAAAAACGTAGTAGAATATAAAAATGAGATCATATATATGTATAAAGCAACACAGTGGAATGACAGGAAAATAAAGACAACATTATCTTAAGAAATGATATCGACTAATTATTGTATATTGTTTAGCCCACATAATAAATACTACAATATTACAATATCTTTTGATTCGACTTCATACAATATTTCTTGTATTTGGAGTTTATTTATTCAGTACGTGTGAAACGAGGCCAGGGATATGTGTATTGATAAAATACTCTTCCCAATCAATGCATGTGGGGCTGAACCCGGGCAAGTCGTTCGTCTCTTTGGCTTCATTCTTGATTCGTAATGTTTCCAGGTTTTTATCATCGAATCTACATGTGATACAATATAAATTCAAACTAATTATAGATATACTGTGACTCAAGGCATGGCAAATGAACAGTAGATCATATATATAGAAGAAGGCTTTCACTCTCTTATCTCTACTACGTATCTATTACAGTGGCGGAGGCAGGATGATCACTCATAGGGGTCAAACTAATGTTTTTATAGAAAACTGTATAAATATTAATGGACTGTATTTGAATAAAATTGTGATAGAGGTCAAAATATTATTTGATTGGGATCAATATTATGCAAATGGTAATATTTCAATATATTTTAAAAATATTATGTGGGTCAATTGACCCCCTTCCCCATAACCTACTTCCGCCACTGATCTAGTAGACATGTAATAAAAGAATATATCTAATAGACACTGAACCAATAAAATAGAGGACAATAAATGAAACTAAATGGAACGCGTATGAAGAAATGTGAGAGAGAGACATACATTCCCTTGAAGAGTAGGTAAGGCTCGTAAAGTTTAACCAATCTCATGGCCATCTTGAATTTACGATTGTGATGCTGATGACTATTTCCAAATTGCGATGGGAAAGTTATGCTAAGCAACCCCAATATCTAAATTAAGAAACGAAAAATGGAGAAAACCTGAGATATAATGCATTTAATATTAGGCTTTAAATTGTGAAAGACACTCCTAGAGTACCTGTAAAGGTAATTTAAAGCGAAGGCTCGTGTAGAGACGGAACATGGACTTTGTGGATAACATTAATGGAGCTTTTGGGATTATAGGCATACCACCGCGACCGAGCAGAGGGCTTTTCTTGAAATAACGAAAACTAATTTCTTTAATTTGCTTATACATTATTGGATTCCGGTAAGATGAGGCCACGTGGTAAACGGTATGGCTTCCTGAATCATGGTAGTGTTCAGCTGCTGTCGCGATCATTGCATTTGCCACCATGTCGACGGGTATCTTGTTATGGACATACATTTTTTAGTTAGAATCAAGCTAGTATAAAATGGAGACTTAATTTAATATTTACAAGATAGGTACCGTTACTAGTGAACTTACAATATCACATGCTGTTTTTTGATCAACGAGAAAACACTTGAGCATTCCCTTCCCGTATGATACAATCACAGTGTCTACGGTTCTTCATATATACAATAACCACAAAAGAAGTTGAGTCAGAGAGAAATTATAAAACTGGATTTGATGGAAGCTTGTTATGGCTCCCTAGAGACTTAGAACACCTCCAATGGGAGGTTTTAACTATGGGGTTCTCAAAATACATATATGTGTATGAGAACCCGGGAGTTAAAACCCCGAAATTAACATATACATACATATATATGTATTTTGAGAATCCAGAGTTAAAACCCTTCATTGGATTGCTCTTAGATCTCTTCTGAGAAAAAAATATTTACTTTCTAGATTAGTATATCAATCCATAGTTGAACAATAAGATCAATGCCACGTAATCGTTGTAAAGAAAGTTATTTTTAGATGAATATTTAACATTATTTCAAACTCAAAAAAAAAAGAAAATCAAATGACGATAATAGTAGCTTACTTGAGGCCTTCAATCCAACCGGGAAATGGGTCTGAGAAAGTGCTTGTGATCATTGTGGGACGTATTATTACAATAGGCATTTTTTCTCTATAGTGTCCAACAAGCATCTCTCCCATTACTTTGGTGAAGGCATATGTGTTTGGCAGTCCAAAATGTTTTGCCCTAATTAGCATTATGTGTGAACAATGTGGTCAAGTTTTTTTTTCTTTGAGAAAATCAACGTGCCTCAAGTTACTTCATAGTTTCTTAACATTCGTACCAAATAAATTATTTTTAATAGTATTTATAATTTTGGCATATGAACACAGACCTTTTCAACCCAAGATCTCTCATGGCATTTTTAGTTTCTTCTTCTGAACAACCTTGTTCAACGAGTTGTTTCAGTCTCTGCTCTACCAGTTGCATTTCGGTATTGATATCTACCTTGTTTTTGCCGTGAAGAGTTTCTCCCATTGCAAAAGGTATCTCTTGTATAAGGCCCGATTTTCCCCCACAAACATAAGCTAGAAAAGAAAACAAATATGTATACGTGAATATTAAAAATACTGTCGATATATATAAATATTATATACCGGTACAAGATAATTAAATTCTCCAAGCTAAAATTTTGAAATATGTCTTTTATATAATGAGAACATAGTACTAAAGCGCGTTATGCATGACTACAATAATGAGAACATTCTGGTAAAAAAGGGAAAAGAGGAGACTAATAAATAGTCTTTCACGGCATTTACAGTTTCAAATTTTCTAAAACATAATTTTATTAAAATCTTCTTTGAATAGTCCATAACCACTAAAATCCTAAAAGTATTACTATTATCTAAAATATACAAACTTTGTTTACATATAAATATTAAAAAGCATCATATAAAGTATATAAGTAAAAATTTATGTTTATATGTAATGTCATAATCGATGACTTAAATAGTCAATGTTCTAGGTCAGGCACATATATTATGAACTTGATTTTAAGAGGTCTAAATGTGGCCACCTGGCGGTTTCAATCTTGGAAAGAAAATCTGGCGTTTTCAAACGCCTCAGAATGAGTCTGAGCTTTGACATATCATTGGGTGATTCAAAAAGAAAAAAGGGTTTCGTGATTCACCAGTTGAGACATGGAGAAGCAGTTGTACTTTTACACACTTCTTAGCAAAGTTAAGGACATTGAGTGCTCCAAATGTGTTGATCCGAAGTGCTACATCGTAGCTTTTTCATATACAAGGGAACCAAAATTAAGCTAATTAATATGATTGTCAATAACAATATATATATATATATATTTTTTTTTTTCTTCAAAAAAAACAATACATATATATATAACAAATTAAACGAATGAACAATTACCTCTCGTCGAATCTCGTGGTGGCAGCTGCATGGAAAACAATGTCAATCTCTTGCATCATATCTTGTACAAGATTGGAATCACTCACTCCCATATTGTTTAATGATACGTCGCCTGGAACAGGAACAACTTTTTCCGATATCAAGGCGTTTAAACTTTTGTCACCAATATTCTTTCTTAGCACCTTAAACAAATCTTTCTCGAAAACCTGTTCCAATGTATTCAGAAATTCATTGTCGTACGAAATCTCTAAAGCAAATACATTTTTGGTATGTACTTATGGACATATACCTCATTGTGTAACCGTTGTTCCGCGGAGCTATTGTCAGATGCTCTTACGAGGAGGTAAAGCCTTTTCACGTTTGGTTGCAAACTCAGAACTCGCTCCACGAAGACTATGTTCAAATATTAATATTATATCCATTAATTACGAGAGTGGTTTATAAATAAAAAAATTCCTCACGAGTGGATTTATAAAAACAAAGCTGATATATATATATATGTTTTGATCGTCGTTGCTCCAATATTTACTCAGTTGATTTCTTGCAGTACAGAAGACTACAAAGAATTACCTTTAGCCAGGAAACCGGAAGCGCCAGTGACGAGCAAGGTCTTGTTCTCAAGAAACTGAACACGATTTTGTTCCATAGTTGAAACTCAAAAACCTATGTTAAGAAGTGAAATGTTTGTTTGTTGAGAATGCTTGAACCCAGCACCATAACACTTGTATTTATAGGAAAATGGTGATAATACGCCTACTTTTCTTTGACCAAAAAAAAAAACGCCTACTTTACAAAAATAATTTGTAAATGTTTTTTTTTTCTTTTTTTGTTGGCGCACGATTTATAAACAGACTAGTATCAACACCAGTGCTACGCCTGGGTCAATTTTATTATCTTCAAAATTATTTGATCATTCACAGTATAATTTTCACTGAGATATAACAGTGGTGCATTTAAATTTAAGCAAATAAGTTAAATGGAAAGGGTTAAACAATAATTTTGATATTGTTTTAAAATGGCTATATGTTTGCAATATTGTCCAAAATATTGCGATTAAAATTTGATTTTCAGATTATTTTTTGGTTCCTTGGAAATTAAAAACTGATTTTTAAATTTCGTGACCTAATTTTACCCACTGTTTTTATTTTAATTTAATATTAATTAAAAATTTAGATTGATTTAATTTTAAAAAAATATTTTCTTGAATTATTATTTTAAGATTTTAGGAAAAGTGCTTATCTAGAAATGTTTACTATTTTCTGTTTTAGATAGTCATTATTAAAGAAAAAAGTAACTAATATTATTGTTTACCTGGATTCTGAAGGATTCTGAATGATTAAACTTTCATCAACTCTTATATATTCATCGTCTTCAACCTTTACCAACTTTATACATAACATATCTCATCCAAACTTTTTTTTGTTTCTTCATATCTTCTTCTTCTTTTTTCTTTGATCTTCTGATACACATCTAAAAAAGTATATTAAAATCGCTTCAAAACGTCAATAATACAAAGATCGATACTTAACTTTTTTTGTTTGTTCAGATTTAGCAACAGAAGTTTCATATAAACTCGTTATGCAACTTAGTAAGGACCATGCATACAAAACTAATTCATGCGATGAATAATAGAAGTTTCAAAAAAAAAAAAAAAAGATAAAAAAATTTCCGTTAGAAAAAACAGTAATATGTGAAAAGAACGGTTTTTTTTTGTAAAACTGAAAAGAACTGTTGTTCAAATGGTTTTATCGTTCAGTGCCGAAAAAGATGTCAGATTGGTAATGGGGCTGTGGAGACTTTGTGGTTATGTAAAGCCATGAAAGCCAAAAATTTACCAATCAGTTTTTTTAGGCTTTAGAAATCTCTAAAGCCTTAAAAGCCTATTTAAAAAAAAAAACTGTTTTTTACTTACCCTTTTCTACAGCCACTTTTTAAGGCTTTGAAGACTCTTCTCTTTCTCATTTTCTTAAAAACTAACGTGATCTCAATTATGTTTTTGTTTCTCTCTTTTATTTTCAATCAAGTAAAAGAAATAACAAGCAAATTATATAATTAGAAGAATGATTTTCATTGAGTAGTTAGTATTTTGTTACCAAGAAAGAGTCATAACTTGNTATATAATTAGAAGAATGATTTTCATTGAGTAGTTAGTATTTTGTTACCAAGAAAGAGTCATAACTTGTTATTATTAGACATTAATTTATTAAAGATTTAAAGTTATTATATAGATTACTGCAAAGTATTAATTAATAAGTCAAAACATAAATTAAATGATAAAATATGTTTAATAATGATAATACTAAAAAAAAAAAATCATTGTTACTTATTTTATTTTGATAGTAAATAAATAAAATGACTATATTAATCATTTTTATTGTTTACATTTTGCATTTATCTAATATATTATGTGTTTGAATAAGTAAAAAAGTAAACTGAATGAAATTTCATCACAAAAATTTAGCAACATCTTTGACTAGTAGATTTAGCCAATTATTTATTGTGTGTTATATTACAATAATATAGCTTCCTATTTTTGTTGAACTAAAAAATAGAACACCATTAATATTATAAATACTATGAAACTTTGATAAACAAATACGTCCGCTGTAAATGGTTTTGGTAGGTTTCAATCTTCCAAACTCAACATGTATGGTTTCATCATCTACTCATGAGTATAAGGTATCAATTTTATATTTAAAAGCTATTAATGTATAATTTTAGTATTGGTATAATGTATAATTTTTTTTATTAAAATTAATTATTTAAATATGTTTCAAATTTTCAGGGTTTTAAATGGACAAACGATGTTACAACAGTATTTCTTCAACAAGTTATTATGCAAAAACAATTAAAACATTTACGAAGGATCCAAAAAAGTCATAATTTACTATTAATAGATTATTAATCTGTTAGAACTAAAAATATTGTATAAATAATTAAAACATTTACGAAGGATCCAAAAAAAAATCAAATGCTATTTTAAGAAGATTTACTTTAGTATAAATACAAGAAGAGAAATCATTTTCATCAAACACACAAAACTAACAGGTACTAATTCTATTTATTTTTCTTATCAATATATATATATATAAATTTTTCATTGTTATATTTAATTAGTTTAAATCTTTTCTCTTTACAGAAATGTCGTCATCTTCTTCTCGAAAGGTAAAGTGTTATTTTATCAAGCAATATTAGTATAAATTTTATACATATAAATTATGTTGGAATATAATTTATTTTTAAAATATTTGTAGAAAAAAATCACATGGAGCGATGCCAAGACTCATACCTTCCTTAGCATTTTTGTATCGGAACAAGATGAAGAGAATTGGAAAGAGACTCTCTTAACAAAAGAAGGAAAAATGCGATTAATCGATAAATTTGAGCAAGCAACGGGCTACAAATTGGTATGGAAAAACTTCAAAAATCATTATGATAGTCTGAAAATATGGTACACTGCACACAAAAGATTAAGCAAAAAAACTGGAGTACATGTTAATCAAGTTACCAATGAAATCGAGATGGATTCTGAATGGTGGGACGATCGGTGCAATGTAAGTCGCATTCAATATTTTTTTAACTGGTAGAATATTTTTGTTATAACAATTGATTATTATTAATTGTTATTAATTTAACTTATAGGAAATTCCCGGAGCTAGTCATATAAGAAGCAAGCCACTTCAAGATCTAGATTTGCTGGAAAAAATATTCTCAGATGCATATATTGGAACTGAAGATGGATGGGCCGTTGGAAATGGTCATGATGGATATGTGCAAGCAGAAGATGTGAATGACACCCAAACAGAAGGAGATGACCAAGAATCAAATTTTTCTGAAACTCCAAACACCGGGTATAACATCCCCACAAATAAAGTGCAACCAAGACGCAAACGTAAGGTTCAGAAAGTAGTGAAAAATCTGAAATTTCAATGGCATATGATAGACGATCTGAAACTATTAGAATCGCAGGAGAAGCCATGGGTTCAGATAGAGAGAGAGCAGTACGTCGTATTGACCAAATTTCTACTCTTGAATACAATTCATCTTTTTATTGGGATGTAGTAAGCCTAATTGAAACTAATGAGGCAGCACGACAGATGATTTTAGGACTATCAAATGATGAACATGTTCTAAATTATCTACAACGATCCATCCAAGTGCAGAGAGAGCCGCCTCGTCATTCAGATTTCAACTACTTTGATTAATGATTTAATTTTTTTTTATTTAAGTATGATTTATTTTTTTAATAATGTTTTATGTGTTTTCTTTGCTGGAATATTTATGATTTTATTAATAATATTCACTACTCTTTTCCAGTTTATTTTTTTAATACACTCAAATAACTTTATACGCTTCTCTTGTGACTCCTATTTTCAGACCATGATGAAGTTAAAAGTAAAAGTCATTTATTTATATTAATAAAATAATTAAAGGTACTTTTAAATAGAGTTAAAGTTGTAGAATATTCGTAGTTTTCTGTTTGTAGAATAGTCAAAGTTGTTTTCAGTTTACAAAATTCAATATAGTTTCATCCGGTTCTCATGCAAATTCTATTTTTAGCCTAACAAGAAATGAATTAAATAATATATTATTGTAAAAGATAAGCTTAAAAAGCTATAAGTACCAGGTGATCATGATGACGTTAAAAGCAAAATCATTATAAGTTTTCCTTTAAACCAAATTGGAAAATATTCTCTCCAACAATTATTTTCGTATTTTTATAACTTGCAAATCCTTCAAGAATGGCATCATCTTCTTCTTCAAGAAAGGTAGAGTACCACATACACTTTTTTTTTAAATATCGAATGATAACTATGAAAATATATATGTTTATTAAGTGAAATAAATCCTCGTTGTTTTTTTCTTTGTATAATTAAATAAATTTTATTATTTTATCTCTTAATACAGAATATGGCTCTACTATGGAACACATTTGAAGATGAAGAGGGTGATGACTTTTTACTCAAATCAGAAGAAACTAATCAAGATAAAAGAGTCACGAGACCTTTATGTTCAGATGCTGACCGTGGACGGCAATTTCTTCATGATATGATCAATGGTCACCCCACACAATGCCACAATATGTTAAGAATGTGGCCGGAGGTATTTACTAAATTATGTGGTGATCTCCAAGATATGTATGGCTTGTGTGATACATATAATATGTCTGCAAAAGAAAGTGTGGCTATATTTTTACATATGTGTGGACATAATATAACACAACGGAATGCAATGCGTACATTTGGTCATTCAGCAGAAACAATTTCCAGAAAGTTCCATGAGGTCCTTGTTGCACTTGTATCAATGGCTACTGATATGTTTGCTCCTGATCCGGAATCTCTTATGCAAGTCCATCCTAAATTGCAATCAAATAAGTATTATTGGCCATATTTCAAAGGATTTATTGGTGCAATCGATGGAACTCATGTTCCTGTTATGGTGTCTGAAAGAGATCAACGAAGATACTGGAATAGGCACGGAGATACATCTATGAACATCCTTGCGATATGTAACTTAGACATGTTATTCACATATGTCTATGTTGGAATTCCAGGATCTGCTCATGATGCGAAAGTTCTTTCCCTTGCTATCGAAGCTGATACCAATTTTCCTCATCCACCTGATGGTAAATATTATTTAGGTGATTCAGGATATGCATTACGTCGTGGATTTCTTTGTCC